GACTTATTTGGGTGGCTATGATCAGGAATAGGGACATGAGTTAGGTCAGTTTTATAAGGGACAGTAATTGTTGTAATCTGCACCCTACTCATAGGATTAGCTTTCACTGCTGCTTCCCATGTAGTAGTGGGAAAAGGATGATGTGGATCAAGGTGATGAACAGAGACTTTAATCAGCACTATGAAGTGATCCTAGTGAGGAAGATGAGATGGTGTCCAGTGGAACACCAGCATCAAGAATTTGAAGCATCTGCCACAACTGCCATCCTGAGCCTAGCTAAGCTCAGTTTACTTATCATTCAGCTACCCTCCAACTCTAATGAAGAAGATGAAATGTCTCAGTGCCAGAAACCAGAAAGCGCTTGCTCTGTAGAAAACCGCAGCCTGCAAACAGAGCCCTCTCTTCATCCCGTGTCATGAATCAATCCAAAAGTCATTCTCCCTCATCAACACACATATTTCTAACCGTTAAACTACAGAGGTGGCCCGAACAGAAAGATAGATGCAGACACACACGCACACACGTGTGCTTGCAAATAAGAAAGTTTGGCCTAAAAGTATCCTCAGACCTAGAACATGTAGAAACTAAAGAACTCGGTCCTTTAATTTCAGTCTGGTAGGCCAACCAACCCCTTCCTGATGGTTATGACAATAAAGCTTATATTAAGAATCTTATATTAAGAACCTAAGAGTAACATGAGGACGGGAGAACATTTCGTGACACGTGCTATTAGTCTTGTGTCTTTCTCGGGCAGACATGACATTGATGGTGTGTCAATTCATTTCTCACAGCGTTCTTCTTTAGCTTGTCACCACTGTGGGGATTTCCCGGAGGACAACCTTTGGTGTTAAGTGTTATAGGCGTTTAGAAAACAGCAGACCCAGCCACCCTTGAGGAAACCTGACTGCAGACCACCAACAAGCCTATGCTTGTGGATGAGTCACAGGCTTGTGTCCAGCATCTTTTCACTTAGGAGCGTTTGCTTCCCTCAGTGTAGACTAGATTAGGAGAGATGTCTGTTCTGATAGGTAGGTGGTACTCCATGACCCATATAAACAGGAAGCAGTTACAGCAGGAGCGACCTCTGCTCTTGAACTCATCAAGAAGTGTGTGTATGACATCTCTCAGGGGGAAATGAGCAATGGGGATGGAGTAAAGGCACAGGTTTGGACAGAGCATTTGCTGAAACCACGATAGCATCTCACCCTAGGGACTCTATTTCCCCAAACCCATTGTTACCTCAAAGGAGTTCCTGATAATCTTGTGTTCTTGTGATCCTTTAAAAAAGTTTCATGTGTATGCTGGGCACATGAAATACTGAGTCTGGCCATGCTGGCTTGGGAAAATTTCTTCCTCCTAGAAGTTTGTAATAAAGTTCTCTCGTGATGTCTTCCAAAAAGCAATCTCTTTTTCGCTAAGTCAACAACCTAATTCCGCTCATTCCTCTGTGTATTCTTCTTTTATTGCTTCCTGCATTGTCCAATAATTTGCCCGTAAGAAACCACAAACTCACTGCAATCCGGTCAATGTCCACTCATAGGGCTGCTACAGGGCAGGGTAGAACTGTCCCTGTGGGTTTTGGAGACTTAACAGGAGTAGAAAGTTTCATCTTTCTCCCTTGTAACCCCTACATCACCAGTTTTTCCTTAATTTGCCCATAGACACTTTTAATTTTCTGGAACATTAGGTTACTTATTAAAAAATATGTTCTTCATTTAAAAAAATCATTTTATTGGGAGCTCATACAACTCTTATCACAATTCATACATACATCAATTGTGCAACGCACATTTGTATTTTTGTTGCCCTCATCATTCTCAAAACATTTGCTCTACACCTAAGCCACTGGCATCAGCTCCTCATTTCCCCCTCCCTCCCTGCTCCTCCCTCCTTCATGAGCCCTTGATAGTTTATAAATTATTATTTTGTCATATCTTCTTTTTTTGGTCATATTTTACACTGTCCAACATCTCCCTTCCCCCACTTTTCTGTTTTCCATCCCCCAGGGAGGAAGTTATATGTAGATCCTTGTAATCAGTTCCCCCTTTTACCCCACCTTCCCTCCACCCTCCCAGAATATTTTCGCCTTTAAAATAAAAGCCTGCAAATACAAGAAATATACAAGAGAAAAGAATGGCTGAAAAGCTTTGATTTACCGTAAAATATAAATCTAAGCCACCAAATGTATATTTCAAGAACTTTATATCAGGAAAATTGTAAAAATGAAAAGTAGCATGTGTTGAGTATTTATCGTAACTTTCCCCTAGGCTACGATCCTATTTCCCTTTGACCTTCACTTATGCTCCTTTGGGGAAAGGTTCCTTAGTGAGAGTCTGAGGCAAAACTGGCTCCATCTCCTTCAGAACGCTCTTCTTGCCGCAACGTGTCAATAAATGGTGTGACAGTCTGTCCGCATAGTAATGAAGACGGAACCCATCATGCTTAATTAAATATTAGTGTTGACTTTTCTAATAAGGCAATATACACAAAAGCTCTCTAAGATAGGACCCACAGTGTTATGTAATTGTAAAGTCTTAGGATGATTACTTAGGACCAGGCTGTCTACCCAGTACAATGCAAGACCCATTAGAGCATAATAGTTTTGTCCTGGACATTATTATATCCCCAAATCCCTACATTGTTCCTGGGATACAAACAATTTATGTTTTTTAAATACTCAACATATGCTATAAAAGAAGACTGGTTTGTTACATATTCATATAGAATGGTAATAAGTAAAATGAACAAAAGAAACCCAAAGCAAGAGTAAAATCATTTAAAGATTTAAAGAGAGGAAACTATGGACTAAAATTGTGCTTCCAGATTTTCTGTATTTCCCACCTTTTTTTCCAGATGCCCTGAGGAAATGAAAGGTTTTATTATCCTATTTCTGTACCATCATCATGCCACTATCATCATTAACACCACAGCATCATCCTCACTATTCTCAGTTCCATATGAACCTTGATTGCTACTACCAGCACTACTAATATCACCATCATGCCCGCATTCCTCTTTATCATCATCGTCATCAAACCATCCCCATTAGCATCATCAGGACCACCATTGTCGAACACCATCAGCGCCACCAGCATGAAGGTGTCATCTCACATCATCATCACTATTATTCGTCTCTACAAGTTCAAGATAAACACGCCAATATGTTGATTTTATTAATATTTCCTTACTTTTCAAGAGAGATCAGCTTCTCTAGGGTCCTCTCTACATTCTGTTTCTCCTTCTCTAGTTTTGAAAGCAGGAGTAGAGGTAAACTGATGACAAATGGCTCTGGTACCTGTTTTTCCATCTACAGCCCCATTCCAATCAAGCTTTGCTAAGTGGTGAGCCCAGGAATCACTGATATAATGACTAAGTTAAACAGTAAGTTTGCCGGACCACATGTACAACTCTAAACTACAGTTGATAGTTGAGTAAAAACCGGAGCAGATACTTGGAAGGCCACCACTTTGCCTTGGAAGGTCATCCTTGGGAAAGTTGTTTCATAGCTCTTGCCTCCATATTTTCTAATAGATTGATTAAGTGATCTTCATGGTACCTCTGAGTGTTATGATCCTACAAGTCTTCAAGTAAATCAAAGAGAGAAATGAGCCTATCTGATAATCCAATTGTGCGGAGGAAAAACAGTGCTCTGTGGTCATGATGGTGCTGAAAGACAGAAGCACGTTGTCCAGCTCTCACACCCATAAAACGCTATGGATGTGAAATGGCGAACCACGTGGGGACTCAGCCTCTGAGCTCGGCCATTTTGCAGTCAGAAAGGTTTCCTTCTCTGTAAACTAAGGTTAATAACAATACTGCCATCTACCTGCAGGACTCTTGTGAAAACTTAACAAACTTATTCATGCTACGTTCCTTTCCTTGTCTTATATTCAAAAGGAGTTTGAAAAAGAAATTTTAGAATGTGAAAGCATGGCGTTTTGTGCATTTTGGAAACTTTCAAAATTCTTTAGTGATATTTGCCACTTTCATGAATCAGTTCATGAATGATTTAATTCTTCAAATGAAAAGTCCATGCAATCATCACCCTACATTCCTATCAAAAATAGCATGCGATATGGCTCTCTTATTCCAGCATGTATCACTACCTGCTATTACATATTTAGTTGTTTCTATAAGCCTCCTGGGAGAAGAGAATCAGTCTGTTTTGTTTTCTTGTGCATCCCCAATAAGTAGACTAGTCGCTGGAACATGACGGCTACTCAGTACATATTTGGAGAGTGTAAGTAGCATGGAGGAGCGAGAGACAGAGAGAGAGAAAGAGAGAGAGAGAGAGAGAGAGAGAGAGAGAGAATATGCAAGAGAAAGTGGCGCACTGCAATGTCTTATTTATACTCCTACTTTATTCTTGTTAACTAGACTGAGAGTTCTTTGAAAACAGGGACTAATCCATTTCATCTTTGCATGCTTAGTAATTGATACAGTATTTAGCACATATTTAAACAAAACCAGTTACTGTTGAATCAACTTAAACCCATGGTGACCCTGTGTGTCAGAGAACTGTGCTACGCAGGCATTTTGATGGCTGGTTTTTTTAGAAGTAGATCACTAGGCCTTTCTTCCAAGGTCCTTCTGGGTAGTCTTGAACCTTTAGCCTTTTGGTTTGCAGTGGAGCACATGATCTGTTTGTACTACTCAGAAACTTCTGGCACGTAATAGTCAATTCCTATTTAAACAAATAAATGAGTACAATAACTATGTTTGTTAATTTTGTCTCAAGACATTTGCATGTCTTCAAGAGGAAAAAGAAACTACACAGATAGGAGAAGCTGCTCTGCCTCTTTGCTGCAGAGAAGGGCGGCATCTAATAGGGCACATTCAAAACCTTAAACCACATCAAAACCCAGAAGTAAACACTTCATTATCTCTAATAGTCCAACTCTGCTAGCAAAAAAAAAGTCAGCCATTGCATAGATTTCAAATCAAAGGGTGTATATAAAACAACCTCAAATCAAAAGGAAACGAGACAAATGGAAACTCACTCATGTCAAACAGGTCTTTCTGAGGGCTGCTCTTTCCGCTGCTGCTTGCATCCCTGGTGTCTGTGTTCAATCCTGCTCCTCCCACAGCTGCCCTGTCCTGTTGTGGGATGTGCTGGGTATTGATGTAGGTGGGTGCTTCTTCTTGAGGGGTCTCAAACAACGTTCTCTCTGGCACGCTGTAGATGTCTAAAGATTCTGTACAAAGGAAATGAGAAATCTCTCGTGTTATTTTAACAACAGTAATGCACTTTTAGCTAAGCCATCGGACACTTAAACAGAGACGTTTCTTAAGCTATCAGTAGCATAATCTTCCAGGCAGGTATCCACTGGTTAATTTCTCCTCCTCTGATTCTGTCACAACTGACTGATGTCTTCTGGACACTGAGTGTGTCCAGTCCTTCATGCCCAAATGAAACCTGTGAAGTTGGAGATCCATGATGGTTAGAGACCTTACCAAAGATTCTGGGCCTCCCTAGAAAGATACTCATGAGACTAGAACACACAAATGTCTGGTGATCTATTTCCTGGTCCCCTTATCTCTGTTACAAATGCTCTGAGATCAAATGATTGGACAAAAGGATGACAAGCTTTACTTGCATCATTCCATGTTATAAATGCAAGTGAATGCTGTATAAAATAGATCCACTGTAACAATAAGACAGTTTCTCTGACTCCCATTTTAGAGAAATAGTTTCTAACAAACACACCGGGTATGTGGCATGTAACAGCGGATTCTCAACTTCCATGAAGCTAGACATAGCCATGGCGGGGCATTATAGTTGTTGAAAAGATGTGCTCAGATAGATATAGAGGTGGAGGTAAAATTAGATGGACCTGTAAGCATTGACTTAGTGGCTTGTGTAGGCATAGGTGTAGAAGAAGATAATAGATATAAAATAGAAATAGATGTAAAATAGATTTAGGAATATGTATCTATATAAATATAATAACACTGACAAATTAAAGAGTATTGCTACCAGGGTTCCAATTTATACTTGCATAGTCTTATTGCAAATGAATGTCTATACACCTGTCTCTGTGATCAGTGGATGCCTGCAGACAAGTTCTCTCAAGAATAGATTTGTTTTTGTCTCTTAAGGGGGGAGATTCAGTATATATTCAAAACAGTGGCTTCCAAAGGGATCTACGAGGTCAGTTCAATTCAACACAGAAAGGGGAGCTCAGAATGTTATGGTGGATATTTTTGGAGTTTCCCATGAGCTAATTTTGATGGATTTTCTAACAAAAGAAAGAAAGAAAAAACATGGGGGTTTACAACAAAGAAGTTTTGTTGGTTTTTAAAAATCATTGTATTGGAGGCTCATACAGCTCT